ACCAGTTTGGTAGTTCCTCAAACAATTAAATAGAATTATCATATGACCCAGCAATTCCATTCCTAGATACATAGAATTGCTGGGTCATATGATAATTTAATATATATCCCAGAGAATTGAAAACAGGTAATCAAATACAGGTACACACATATTCATGGCAGAAGTATTTATCATAATCGAAAAGTAGAAACAACCAAGATGTCCCTAAGTGGATGAATGGATAAACATAATGTGTAAAATACATTCAATGAAATGTTATTCAGTCACAAAAAGGAATCAAGTACAGATACATGCTTTGAACAAATTCCTCTCTTCTACTCTAAAAGATGTCAGAAGTTTCTCTCTGGAGAGGAAAAAATCTAAATTCACCTACCGAAGGATATCTTGATGGCTAGAAAGTTTTGGCAATTATCAATAAAGTTGATATAAACATCTGTGTGCAGGTTTTTGTGTACACATAATAAGCTTTCAATTTCTTCGGGTAAATACCGAAGAACATATTGCTGAATCATATGGTAACAGTATTTTTCATTTTGTAAGGAACAGCCAAAGTTTCTTCCAAAGTGGTTGTGCCATTCTGCATTTCTGTCAGCAATAATGGAGGGTTCCTGTTGCTCCATATCCTCACCAACATTTTGTGTTGTCAATGTTCCAGATTTTGACCATTCTAAAAGGTGTGCAGTGACATCTCATTGTTGTTTTAATTTGTATTTCCATGATGACATATGATGTGGAGCATATTTTCATATAATATTTGCCATCTGTATGTCTTTAGTGAAGTGTCTGTTAAGCTCCTTGGCCCATTTTAAATTAGGTTATTTTTTCTTCTTGTTGAGTTTTAAGAAATACATGTATATTTTGGACAACAGTACTTTATCAAATGTAGCTTTAGCAAATGTTTTCTTCCAGTATGTGGCTGGTCTTGTTATTCTCTTGACATTGCCTTTCACAGAACATATATTTTTAATTTTAATGAAATTCAGCTTATTGGTTTTTGCTTTAGCAATCATACCTTTCATCTTGTATCTAAAAAGCCATCATTATACTCAAGGTCATCTGGATATTCTTCTATGTTATCCTCTAGGATTTTCATAGTTTCACTTTTTACTTTAAGTCTATAATCAATTTTGAGTTAATTTTTGTGAAGGATATAAGATCTGTGTCTAGATTCTTTTTTGCATGTGGATGTCCTGTTGTTCCAGCACCACTTGTTGAAAAGACTTATCTTTGTTCCATTGTATTTGCTTCTTTATCAAAGATCAATTGACTATATTGATATGGGTCTATTTCTGGCCTCTGTTCTAGTCCATTGAACTATTTGTCTATTTGTTCACCAATATCACATTGTCTTGATTGTTGTAGTTTTATAGTAAGTCTTCAAGTTGGGTAGTGTTAGTCCTCCAACTTTGTTCTTCTTCAATATTTATTGGCTATTCTGAGTCTTTTGTCTCTCCATATAAACTTAGAATCGGCTTGTTTATATTCACAAGATAACTTGTTTGGATTTTAATTGAGATTGCATTGATCTATAGACCAATTTGGGAATAACTGACATTTTGACAATATTGAGTCTTCCTAAACATGACCATAGAATGTTTCTCCATCACATGAATGATTTTGTACATTAAAGTTATGTGGTTTTTCTCATATAGATTTTGTACATAGTTTGTTAGATTTATAGCTAACTATTTAATTTATGGGACAATAATGTAAATTGTTGTTTTGAATTTCAAATTCCATTTGTTCATTGCCAGCATTTAGGAAAGGAATTTTGTCTTGGCTTTCATGTATTTATCTTGTATCCTGCAACCTCTCTTTAATCACTTATTAGTTCTAGGAGTTTTTGTCCATTCTTTCGTATTTTCTATATACACTAACATGTCATCTGTAAACAAAAACAGTTTTATTTCTTCCTTCCCAATTTGTATTTTATTTCCTTTTCTTGTCTTATTGCATTAACTTGGACTTCCAATATGATGTTGAAAAGGAGTGGTGAGAGGGGATATCCTTACCTTATTCCTGATCTTAGTGAGCAGGCTTCTAGTTTCTCACCATTAAGTATGCTAGCTGTAGCTTTTTTTGTAGATGTTTTGATCAAGTTGTGGAAGTTCCCTTCTATTCCTAATTTACTGAAAGTTTTTTTTATCATGAATGGATATTAGATTTTGTCAAATGCTTTTTTCTGAATTTATTGATATGGTCATGTATTTTTCTTCTCTAGACTATTGCTGTGATAGATTGCATTAGTTAATTTTTGAATGTTGAACTACTTGTGCATACCTGGGATAAATTCCACTTGGAATTTGTTGGATTTGATTTGCTAATATTTTATTGAAGATTTTGCATCTGTGTTCTTTTTTTTAAAGATTTTTTTTTTTTTATATTATTTATTTGACAGAGAGAGACACAGCGAGAGAGGGAACACAAGCAGGGGGAGTGGGAGAGGGAGAAGCAGGCTTCCCGCGGAGCAGGGAGGCCGATGTAGGGCTCGATCCCAGGACCCTGGGATCATGACCTGAGCCGAAGACAGACGCTTAACGACTGAGCCACCCAGGCGCCCCTGCATCTGTGTTCTTTGAGAGTTATCTGTCTGCTGGTTTTTTTGGTTTTTTTTTTTTGTAATGTTTTTGTCTGCTTTTGGGTATTCAATGTTGGCCTCAAAGAATGAGCTAGAAAGTATTCCCTCTGTTTCTATCCTCTGACAGAGATTGTAGAAGATTTGTATAATTTTTTCCTAAAATTACTGATAGAATTTAGCAGTGAATCCGTCTGAACCTGGTATTTTCTGTTTTGGAAAGTTATTATTGATTCCATTTCTTTTTTTTTAATTCAATTTCTTTAATTGATATAGGCCTATTCAGATTGTCTATTTCTTCTTGTGTAAGTTTTGGAAGATTGTGTCTTTCAAGGAATTAATCCTAAATTTCATTTGTGGGCATATAATTGTTCATAGTATTCCTTTGTTATCCTTTTAATGTCCTTGGGATCTGTAGTGATGTCTCCTCTTTCATTTATGATATTAATCCCTTTTTTCTTAGTTATTCCAGCTAGAGGTTTATTGATTTTATTGATCTTTAAAAAAAAAACAGTTTCTTGTTTCATTGATTTTCTCTATTGGCTTCCTGTTTTGAATTTCACTGATTTCTTGCTCTAATTCTTTTAAATTAAATTAAATTTTTAATTGAGATATAATTGACATGTAACATTATATTAGTTTCAGGCATATAAAATAGATATTTGTATATACTGTGAAATGATCACTACAAAAGTCTAGGGTAGGAAACCTGAACTGTAATTGATGCATTGCTAGAGGCTCACTGTGAACAAGTCTGAGAGTTAAAAACTCCAGGGACATCCATCATAGGGAAGTCCCCACTATTATATAACATTATTTTTTTTTTTGGTGGTAAGAACTTTTAAGATCTGTTCTCTTAGCAA